TCTGCTAAATTATTTGGTCTCTATTGCCATCACCAGAAAGTCAGTTAAAAATATAAACTAGCAAAAAGATTTTTGTGTTGTCATTTATTAAAATTCTATGTCTCGGTCGGAGGAATAAACCACCAGACTCTAACGGTCTCTCCTATAATTAAGGGCATGTAATGTATGTATTGAAATAAAACAATTTTATAATAAATTTATTTGTTTTCATATAAAAGCGGAAACAATTTGAATGAGATAACGTCCGAAGATAAAGGACAATTGACGTTGAGTTTTCAATAAAAATCGATAGCTTTGTTGTATTAATTTAAAATCTTTTCGTACCTAACGATAACGTCATAAATTGTATATGTACCTGCATTGTTACAATATTCGTCATATTACAATACAATGTAGGTTCATAGATATATCGGTATCGGGTATTTTCGGTAAATTACAGCCGCCAGTGAGCTTTCGCTCGTCAACCTCTTCTGTCATTTTTATTTTTTAAACTTCCGAATCATTGATCTCGGATAGAGTATTTTTTTATTTGATTGACATTATTTAAATATGTACTTAGAATATAAGAATAAGATAATTAAATCAAAATACCTGTATTCAGATATGACTTTGTATGGGTGGTACAATGCGTATTTGTTATACAGTTGGCTTAATACTGATAGAAATTATTTATAAGTACGTAATTGGTCATTTTAGACTGACAGATATGGCTTGGATTTAAAAATTTTTTTTTGTTTATTCACAAGTACCGATGCTGCGGTTTATAGCTAAAAAGAAAATTAATTCAATCGCAATAAAACTGAAATAACAATAACATTTCATTGAGTTCGGGTGTACCTACAGCTGAAGGTAAATTATAATTATAACAAGCAAGCCGGCTTGGGCGGCACAAGCACCTCCCGGGAATCAAATTTGTGACTGAATGGCGCGCCAAAGTTAATTAAGCCGACATCGTTGGCTCCGTAAATATATACAGTTGCTAAATTAAAACCTCTGAACTAAATATATGTAGAATATGGATGTATGGTTTTTGTGAAATAATTTGATCACAATGTCGTCAGTAACATAAAATATTTCTATATTTTCATTGTAATAAGAGCTAATTATATATGTAGTTCCAATGCTTTGCTTTAGTCTGCCTCATACGAAAAGGATTTAGACTACTGTTACCATGGTGGGTAAACGGCTTGGTTTGAAGGTTTCATTTCGACATTTCCTTTTTTCGTATCAATTTATTCCTTATTAATTCATTAGTTTATTTATTATCACACAAAACAGATTACAATCAATACAAAAAATTGATTAGGAGCGTGTAGTTTGGTAGGCCATATGACTTTGAACGACTTTGACTTGTGTCACAGCCTTGTATTTAAGGAATGGCAAACACCGTTAACAAACATTATTAATGCAAGAAACACAAATATTCATACATATGTGCAATCATTAGGTTCACTAATAATTCGATGATAAATAAACTCTTACTCGAATATTATTATATAATACATAGTTCGAATATTTTTGTGACTTTTAAGTAAGTTTTGTTATTAAATTAACAATAAATAACAATATCAAGCAATAGGTAGATATAGATATACTAAGTTATTGTCTGAAATCAGAATTCAGTGTTTCATTTGTACAACGAAGGAACAATTAAGTAACTTCGTTGAAGTGAACATTGTATTCTGTAACTGAACACAACGAAACTTCCAAAACAAAATGTTGCAGCGCTTAAAATAAAAAGCGGCAGTACCCCAAGTCCGAACAAAACATCAAAGACGAGTGGCGCCGCACATCCCCGGCTAAAGTTTCTAAAAATGGCCGCCCGTTACACTTTGAAGTGTCTCCAGACATTCGTGTCACGTGCACCGACGGCATACTTTCACGTGAAAAGCGCGTGAAAATCCATTCGCACGTTAGACTATTTCAGCTGTTCGCACATTGAGAAACTTTAAGTCGATACATACTTGTGAGTAACTTTAGAGAAAGAGTTAGATATTATTTTATTCTGAGTGCTGAATTGTGTTCGTCTACAATAAAATAACATCTTTTTTTTGTCTGGTTCAATATTCAATCTTTCAATGTAAAACTTTTATTTATATTTTTTCTTTTGTGATAGACATTTTGAAACTACATATGAGAAATTCAAATACTGTGGTAAGTGATGTAAGTAAATTATCATTAACGGTTATTTCTATCTAAACCATGTACATACGAATTTTTATTTGCACCTTCATCCTTATCACTGGAACAAATTATCTTATGTCCAGTTACCTGCGCCTCGTCTGTTTTTTTCGAGACTATGTTGATCCTCATAATACAATCTATCTATACGTCAAAACATGTCAATTTTGATTAATATCGGTTTTGCCGGTTAGTCATGAAAAGGTAATAAACAAACAGACAGAAAAAAGGATATAACATTGTATCTATAATATTAGTAATTCATGACTATTGATTGAATTTTCAAGATCCCAAAAGGTTTTTTCTTAACAAATTTCGTAAGAAACAGAGAGATGCAGAGAAGCTTTCCACAATTGTCAATGTTGATACATACGAATCTATCCACTAAACTAATCGTATACTACAGTTGCGTAATGCACGAATGACCTACGGGCAAGGGAAAAGCAGAAGTCGATCCTACTTAACGTTTAACTTTAAGGCGTTAGGGATAATTCGGTCAGTTAAGTGAAGTCACGGGAGGATGTCTACTCGTTGATGTTTACACACCGAACGAAAAAGATACGCTCTCTTAAGTACATTAGGTTCCTTTATATGTTTCTATGTAGGTAGTTGAGATAATTCATTTTTGATTAAACGAATAAAATACCCAAATGTTGTCAAGTGAATGAATCTGCATGTTCATATATATATATATATTACTAAGTAGGTAATTGCGAAAATCTATGAATAAATAATATATTGGTAAATGAAGACGAGTTAATAATTTTTTTTAATATTTCGTACTGTATCTTACGTTCTCATATATGACCCAATTCATTTATGAAAACCAAATTAACTGTAAATGACATCTAATTAATAAAACACTAAACTGTAATTTTTAGAGTATGTTCAGACTTTGGTGTTTTATTTTAATATGATTCCTGAACTAGTTTTATCATAATAGAAGTTTTATGTCTTTTCTTTGAAAATATTTTTAGTTCTTAAAAATCATTATTCGTGTGATATTAGACATTATAATTTTTTATTACTCATTTTCTAAATGAAATTGCTAAATTTACTAAAATTTTAATAAATGGGTTCTAAATTATTCGTTTAATATAGAAAACTTATTAAAAATATATTATAGTACCTACTTATAGCTTATGCTCCAGTCTCGAGATTTCATCTTTTTGTCGCGAATTACAACCTTGTATTAGAATTGTAAATACGTAAAATTGTAACAAGATTTTTTAAGTTAAAGAAATGTCAAATAAAACATTAAAAGATTTCAATAATCATATTTTAAAGAACTTGAAACTTTACCCGATGACCCATATTTTTCAACTTTTCTTTTACGAAAATAGATCTTGTGGAACTCTCGCGTCAGTGTTCAGATAATTGCTTACTAGGATAAGTACTTAAGTGCTTACTACATCTAGCTCTTTAACTTTTTAAGGATAGACGCTTAGAAAGAGAAGTCTTTTAGTAACTAAATTGTATAAAATAAGCATTTCTATTTCTATTACTAAAGATTACCATTGAGTGGTTCTCATCTAAACAATTGGTAGTAGTCTATACATATTCGTGAAACGGGCGAGTAACCCTGCTCAGTCTAACCCCCACCTCCCATTTTCTTGAATGGGCGGGTGGGGGTAAGTAGGGGGTGCACGGCTCGTTGTTGCCGCATTCTTCCCAAACACCTCTAGAGCTTGTTGCGGCACGCCAGATTATATCCTTTGTGGATTTTTTTATTTCTGTCTGTGCCTATTTTGTAGTTTCAATAGAATTATGTATTATTATTTTAAAATATATTATAACTTGTTTATATAGTGGCTATTAAATTTTACTGAAGCAACAGTTCGGCTGTGTGACACTGATAGAAATCAATAAGAGATAACAATGTTTAATCTCAAAAAATTAAAAAGGACAATGATAATTTATTTTTTATTTTTATACCATTAGGGACAAACAGGTTTGTGGCTCACCTAATGGTAAGTGATTACGTACCCGCATCACCAAGGGAATTTCAAGTGCGTTGCGGGCTATTTTAGAAGAAATGAGTTCATTCTTAAATGTTACAATTTTCTAAGGTTGAAATTTAAGTGGTAATTAAAATATATAATATCGAAAACCAATATGATACATATATTATTGAATCCATTAATATTCCAATAGGATATTTAAAGCAGGATTAATTTACACTTAATTAAAATAATTTTACCTACTACTTTGTGTGACATTGCTACAACTCATATACATATAAGAATGAAAACTGACCAAAGATTTTTCAAATTATTGCTACATTTCACCATAGTAGGTATTTATATATATGCATCATTTTATAATTTAAAGAACAATTTGTTTGACCAATTTCGATAAAATTTTGTGATTCAGTTTTCAATGGATTTCTGGATGGTTTTTAAACCCAATTGGACCCACTAGGTGTCGCTGCTTTTGCGGATGTGCTGGCATTTATCAGATTCAATAATATAATAAAAATTTGACCTTTCTGAACGCTATGGTATCGTTATTGGAATATTAAAAAACCAATGGCGCACATATTGACAGGTGGTAACTGTCGTTTATATATATATATAAATATGAATAGCACTACGGACAGCATATAATCATGTGACATTCGCGATACCACACATGCGTTGATATCTGCCTCTTATCCTGTAATTTCACTGCCTAATCTGCACCCTACAAGCACAGCTTACAAAGCAAGCTTATCGGGTGTAATAGGAGAGGCTAGAGTAACCACGCAAACGACTTTTTACGGTCTACTTCTGGCAAAGACAGAAGAATGGTTGTTTCATGGAATCTAATTAGAAACTTACCTCGTTTATGTTCTTCGCTGTTCCCCGTCCTGTTCAGCTGGGGAGGTAGAGGAGCAGGTATCGTCGGCGCTGCCGGCGCGGTGGGTAGGCCAGGGTACCACCAACCAGTCGCTGCCTGGCCATTGAACATCCTAAGCTTTTCGTAGACGCTGTCATTCTGCGCCGATGCCGCTTGCTCCTTCTGGGACGCCAGGTTTCGAAGCACGCGGTTTATTGATGATACCTATTGAAGATATAAATAAGAAAATCAGAGAAATTATATGGTATGGAGGCATGACACTTTAGTCTTCAGAAACACATAAAGAATACACGGGAGGTACATAATGCCAGCACAGGTAATGACACACAATTATTGTTAAGAGTTATATAAGTGCAATAAGTGTGATTTGGAATCCTGATATAAAAAAATAATTTAACAGATCACTCTTGTGTTAGTTCAATAAATATTTCATTACGGTTACTGGTCAGTTTGTTTACTTTACAAACCAATTCTATTATAGTGATTTTCATATTAATTGATAGATAAATGATATTTTAAGATCTCTACAAAAAAATATTTATATTTATATAAAGTATATATAAAGAATCTTCAATAAAAACAGACTAACATTATAATGTAAATAAACATGTAAATAACTATTTTCTAATAGGAAACAAATTAGCAAACGACCCCACCCTTTAAGTTCAAAACACGTGTAATTTACAATCTAATATGATTACTAAATTCCAATCGGGAGCCTCAAAGGGACACAGATTAGGGCATCCCTCCCCTTTGCCCCCGGAACACCCCTCTGGGGCCTAAAAACCCCAATATCTATCTACTTTCACCAAAAAAGCACGCATGCGTAAAAACCTGACTCACACAAATATAAAACCCTATGTATGCCCATTTTAACACGTCGTACCTACTCAACTGTTGATATAGTTATACATTTTACCCGGGGAGCCTCTAGATATAATATCTATCTGTTTTCTTGTTGCCATTGGCAACGGCGAAAATGTATTTTTCTCTGTGTCGGGGCGGGAAATCGCCCGTTTGGGGAGATGCGCTTACAAAATCGTGAATTCGTACTTCGGTCTGTTGGAATTTGAGATGTAATCGGTCATTGGACTGTTTTAACGTTCTTTTATGAATAGTTATGTCACAGTGTAATCTAATTCTGTGGTATTGTGACGAAAATAAATTATGATAATGAGGCAGTCCTTTAGCATTTTCTATAGATAGATATATAGATAGAGATAGATATATAGATAGATAATATCGCCGTAATGTACATTCAGAAACCATATTTTACGTAATTAGTGGTTTTGATTCACGATTTAGAAATTGTAATATTCTAGTTTATGTTTACAAGATATTTATAGTCTAATAATTTCAGAATATTAAAGGATTATGCAGTTGGTGTAAATGATCGATTAAGATTTGTATTTATAAGTGTAGACGTAATGAAATTGATTCTTATTAGAATTTAAGTAAATTAAGTAAATTTCTATTATCGATTTAACAATATTTAAATCATTATTAATACCTACTGAAACTAAGTAGTTAGAATAACGTCTTTTTTAATGGATTTATTTTAATAAGTCTCAAAATGTGTAAGACTAATACATATCTACCTACATTTAAAAAATCTCTAACAGTTTAGATTTGGTGAATCATTGTATTATGTATTGCTATGCGATATACGTATTGCAGAAATATTAAGTACTAGCTATGCCCGTTATTTCACCCGCATGAAATTATATATGTGTTCTTACCACTGTAAAGTTTCATCAAAATCCGTTCAGTAGTTTTTGCGTGAAAGAGTAACAAATATCCATCCTATTATCTATCCATCCATACTCACAAACTTACATGTTTATAATATTAGTAAGATATTATATTTGTTTTAGAGTATTACAAAACAAGGCTACATATAAAAAAAACGTAATCTCACCCATAACCTTAAAATACTTAAGCATTCTATTTATAAAGCCACAGTCAATGTTTGCATACGGGAACCGTAAAATAACCTATTTTGTCTATGAAAGCGGACTATTTCAGTGTGTGGCAGCTGTAACGTCTGAATTAATCCCATGTAGCGCTAATGGAAGATAATGTGTACGCTGATAGGACCAACTCAGGTGCAAATACGTTAAACCGAAATCATAGGGACGTCCTGAAACGCCTGAAAGGGATAATCTTTTTTACTGTATTTAAGTATTAGTATTAATATAAAAGTGAAAGTTAATAAGGATAGATGTTTGTTACTTTAGTAGGTATACAAGAAAAATATAAGTTGGATTGTATAGATTACTTTTTATCCGAACACATGTGAGCAGCATCACGGTACATAACTAGTCATTTCTATTTAGTTGTAATATGTAGGTTTTTGTGTAGGTACTTTATTATAATTGCATTCATGGCTTACATTTATACTTTTACTAAATATTGCGTGGATTAATATTAATTATTAATAAAAAAATATATAGGTAACACCATCAAATTGACATTCAAATAATTAAGCATATGTAAATAAAAAAACATAGTTACGTATACCTATAAGATGCCGTGAGAAAGACAGTCATATAGAAATAAAACCAGTTCACTAATCACACTGTAAAGGTCACATCAGATCAAAACTTTAAAATACACAATTGACAAATCCAATTACAGCTTTTATTATTATCAGATAGCACTACAAAAAGGTATTCCATTTTTAAAACGCCGAAAACATTTTGAAATTCGAACATCCAAGCGCACCAATAAAAGCGGTGCATTTAAAACAGTGATTCTGTATCTGACAGCGCAATGGCCAATCAGATATGTAAGTACGTCGAAAAGATTAAAGAAAGTACGCGGCCATATTAGAATACTAACGGTTTTATTTTTTAATTTATCGATTCTGAAAACGATTATTAACACGGTTAAGCAGAAATAAGGTTTTTATTGGTGTATACGAATTCATATAAAAATATACTATTTTTTCAGAATATTTTAAAATAACAAATGCGAAACAAATATTATTTGTAAATTGCTAAGTATAACATTAAATTTAATAGTCTATAACTATATTTCTTGGATGGTTTCTTAATACCTATTAAAATATAACTAGACTATATTAAATACAACTGGAGAGAAGCACTTTTGCATTTGCAAAAGAATTATCGAAATTTGTTCAGTTCTAGTGAAGATAGCTATAACTAGTGACTTATATTGAATAAAAAAATATGCTGGGCGCGTGTTCAGAATTGAGGTTAAAACGCTTTTTTACTCGATATCTGCTAGGGTATTTGTTCAGATGTCATTATTTGAGAAATCGAGCAACTAATCGTGTGTTCTTTCGCATTATTACGCGAGAATGCACGCAGCTGTTGTTGTTTTTTATTCAACATTCATAGAATTTGTTCGACTAATTGGCTTTGTACATTAATAGTCGCGCTATCTGAAAACATTAAGTACCATTTGTTCTAGAAGAAAATGTAGAGATAAAAAATCGAGAGCATGTTAAAATATTCATAGTCGTGACCATAAAAAAACAATTAACATAATTCGTAACTTCAGAAAAGGAAGGGTATATAATGTCCGCATTTTATATATGTACCTATACATAAGTGTAAAATGTTTCTTTGATAAATTATATGTTGGGAATTAGCTAGCATATCTTTAATCTAAATGTATAACATAAAGGCCGTACTATATAAAGATAGACATACGTAGACAAAGGACTTGTACAGATATGAATTTAATGGAAGGAAAAAAAGAAAATATATATAGGCAAAATCTCGTAAAAGCAAACAAAAGGGAACGAGTATTTTTTCACAATTATTTTCTTATTAGACTGTAAGAAATTGTTAACAATACATTTAAAGGAAACTGGCACTGCCCTTATAAGAATAAAATCAAAATGGAATGGTTCTAAAACATAAAAAATTGTACTATAAAATAGCACTTGTTTATGGTAGACAATGATTAAAATGAGTGAATGTAAATAATTGCTTGCAAATAAAAATGCTACATAGAATTGGTTACACAGTTTCATACAAAAAATATTCTGTTCTGAGTGAAGTATCTCTGTTTTGTGAGTTTTTCTGCACAATAGAATATTGAATTTTGAAAATAGAATTCATAACCGAAGGTGAAGCATGCGTGTTCTGATAGTATTTCTACGTAATCGAATATTCAATTTTGAAAATGGAATTCATAACCGTAGGTGAAGCATGCCTGTTCTGAAAGTATATCTACGCAATCGAATATTGAATTTTGAAAATGGAATTCATAAACGTAGGTGAAGCCTGTCTGCTCTGATAGTATTTCTACGCAATCGAATATTGAATTTTGAAAATGGAATTCATAACCGTAGGTGAAGCATGCCTGTTCTGAAAGTATATCTACGCAATCGAATATTGAATTTTGAAAATGGAATTCATAACCGTAGTTTAAGCATGTCTGTTCTGTTAGTATTTCTACGCAATCGAATATTGAATTTTGAAAATGGAATTCATAACCGTAGGTGAAGCATGTCTGTTCTGTTAGTATTTCTACGCAATCGGATATTGAATTTTGAAAATGGAATTCATAACCGTAGTTTAAGCATGTCTGTTCTGTTAGTATTTCTACGCAATCGAATATTGAATTTTGAAAATGGAATTCATAACCGTAGGTGAAGCATGTCTGTTCTGATAGTATTTCTATGCAATCGAATTTTGAATTTTGAAAATGGAATTCATAACCGTAGGTAAAGCATGTCTTAGTATTTCTATGCAATCAAATATTGAATTATGAAAATGGAATTCATAACCTTAGGTGAAGCATGCCTGTTCTGAAAGTATATCTACGCAATCGAATATTGAATTTTGAAAATGGAATTCATAAACGTAGGTGAAGCATGTCTGTTCTGTTAGTATTTCTATGCAATCGGATATTGAATTTTGAAAATGGAATTCATAACCGTAAGTAAAGCATGTCTGTTCTGTTAGTATTTCTACGTAATCGAATTTTGAATTTTGAAAATGGAATTGATAACCGTAGGTGAAGCATGTCTGTTCTGTTAGCATTTCTATGCAATCGAATATTGAATTTTAAAAATGTAATTCATAGCCATTTGAACGGACAATAGCACAAGAGTCAAGTCAATAATATATTATTCATAATTACAATAAAAGTAAACGTTATAATGTTTTTAGAGCAACCAACGCTGTTTTATTTTCACTTATTCCCTTTTTCGAGCGAGCAGTCCGAAT